GATCTCCCAAATTGCCACAATTCTCAGTTATAGTATGGGAGCACATGGCAAAATTCGGATTGAGTACAAGTTCCAGTTTTGAAAGATGTATTTCTAAAGAAAAACCAATCTGAATAGGTAAAACGTATCGGCGGTTACAGTCTGGGGCCAGCATTGTCTGACAAGAAGCTTGGCGGCCTTTAAGTAGTGCCGCTCTTAGAAATGGTAGTCTGTAGTCAAATATTGTACGTGCAACGACGATGACATCTCAAAGAGCAGAGAGACCGTTGCGGAGAGCATGGAGAGCGCAGAAAGTGTGATTTGTGCATGGACGGAGGTGGGGGAGTGCGTTTAAGTCGTCTTCTGTGAGCAACCAGTTAAGCTGCTCACAGGAGACGATTTGGGAGGAACCGGTATGAGCTTCAGACGAAGAAGACACAATCCATAATAAGGGCACATCATCGCGTCGTGCAAAGTTTCCTAATTCTTTTCTCATAAACTGCGTCCGCTATCCGCCTCCTCCCCCCAACAACCTCGATTCTTCCAAAATTTTGCGGAGGAGTGGGTGTGGTGTGGACGCCGCCGATCCACTCCCCATCAACGATAACTAGCGCAGTATTAAGGATGTGGGTATAGAACAAGTGCGAAGAACAGCGATCGGAAAAATATTATCGAGACCATATAGGACTCCACTGCCCCAGCCGCCAAATAGAACCCCGCTGTGCTCTACACAAAGGTGACGTGCTCCATCTGCAATAATATTAATACAAAATATTAAATAAAATAAATAAATAAAATAATGATATTAGTACAAATCTGCACTATCGTATCTGCCTACAGTAACTTCTTTGAGGACCAGTCGGTAGCTAAAGTTCGTCCTTTTTAAAGCCGGCAAATTTGACAAAAGTTCTTCTGGACCCGGAATTCGTTCCAACTTCACTTCAATTTTTAGTGGTAATTACCCCATTTTTAACTGATACTCCGAATGCTTAATTTACCTCGTTTTTTTTTCCAGGTACCCGTGTTGAACTTCGCTGCTTTATCCAAGGTATCATTCGAATTTCTTTCTGATGGCGTCCTTCCAACTTCTCTGAGACTCATCGTGGTGGCTTACCTACCGCTTCTACTTCGAAGTGCAAGCTTTCGTTATCGGATGAACCTCGTGCCTTCTAATAACAAGGTCGTACTATAGCAATTTTTGCTCTCCTCTACCTTCACTTTTGCAGAGGCTATGTGCATTACCACCCTGACGTCGTTTCTACTTTTCCCAGTCGAGTTCAGCAGCAGACGTATCTTATTAGTATCCTCATTTCAATAGCGTGGAAGTGTTATGGTACTTGCAATGGCCACCATTCGCTGCCGCAGAGCATCGCACACTTCACCACGGCTCGGGACACTTCGCCCTTCATGTGGAGCACCGCCGCTTGTTCCCTCACGTTCGGCTGGAGGCCCTTCTTAGCCAGTACTTTCTGCTATTTCTACACTTTTCCCTTGTTCTCTTCCTCCCTCTCTTCCCTAAATACCGAATTTACTAGGGTTTTTTTACCGAATGGTTCACGCTACCACCTGCTACGGCTAGATTGCTTCCTAGGTAGCATAGTTCCTCTGTCCTTTAGATGATGTAGCCGTGACGCTCTCGCGACAGGTTTGACGTTTTCCGCGGAACAACAGCTCATTTTTCCCTCACGTTCGGCTGGCCCTTCTTAGCCAGTACTTTCTGCCATTTCTACACGTTTCCCTTGTTCTTCTCTGGTGTCTGCTATCAAGGCAATGGCGTCGGCGAAGAGTACGGATATGAGTTTATTTGCCATGACGTAAATATAAATAGTTCCACCTATCAACCTCGTAAGGCACAAAACAAGTTGAGAACTTACATCTAACATGCCGAGTGCAAGAAGAGAGAAGCTGGAGAAGTCAGCTCATTTCCTTCTAACAATTCCAAAGAATGTAGAACCACTTCTCACCAAGTAATGAACGGTTTCAGCATAGGAGCATCTCAGCAAAGCTCCTTCTGATGTTGCACTTTACCATAGTGAAACAGATCGAGTATAGTGTCTTTGAAGTTTACGCCCATCCTGCCCTACCACGTTACAAGCACATGCTGCGCAAGTCAACAAAAAGCGCGTGAACACAGCAGTGCTCGATTTTTGATCAGCTTCACGACTGCAAACAACGCACACCCGCAACATCGCACACATCCCCACGTCAACATAGCCAAATTTAATGAGCAAATTCGCATTTTGATGGTGGCCCTGCCCCATAACGCTCTTTGACGTATTACATAACTGGGCAACAATGAGATCAAGACATGTCTCCATTGTACAGCACAGCGGCCTGAGGAGGTGGGGGTAAAGGAGTCGTACTTATCCGCTGAAAAGAGTGTTGGGCATTTCTTCCCCGGTACACCACTCATATAAATTTGGCCCAGATTCGATGGAAGTTGACCCCGTGGGCATAGTTTCGTCTCCTGCTTGTGGCCTGCTCCCTGAACATGAGTATCACGTTCGTTGGCATGAGACCCCCTGGCATTTGCGTCACAAGTATATTCACCAAAACGCCATGCAGCAGTAAATGCGCTGAAAACTTGACCGTTGGAGAAGTTTGACTCCTTGAGCACAAATATCGCATTTGCGTGGTGCATGCGGTTTTAGCGCCGAGACCAAATCTGGCGGCTCTTATGGTAGGGCCGGGCGTTTTCGCTTCACAAGTATGCAAATGACATGTTCAGGGAATACCCCTGGGGCATAGTAGTTTTGACAAGACAGGCGGGGTGCAGCATTATGGGGAGAACCCCAGCAGGTGATCATATTTGAATCCGGGGTAGGTTGTATGTGGCCTAGGAGTTTGCTCGAGTCACAGCAATTTTTTCGCCATTTTTATTTTTACTTCCTAATGTTTCGCCGTCTTTCCCGTTTCATGTGGGCTATGTAATCTCGCTCGACGGCTGCTCTTTGAGAAGAAACATATGCAAAGCTGGGTAAATTGGTAGAGGTTTGGAAGGATTTGGGAAGATAGCGTGTAGCATGGGGAATGTGGATCGTACTAGTACACTGCCATTTCACTTCCTAAGCTGCTGTACCATGCGTTCAGAAGCGCAGTGGATACCTCGTGGCCTATCACATCGCACATTCAGATGGTTTTAGGAATCTAAGTATAGCGCATTGGACATCTATACATGTCACACGCGTGATCCCCTTTACGCTCCTTTACTTACGGATAATTATCTTGCATGCTCCCTCAATACGTGATCATTTTTTCTGAAGAGTCTGTCCATACAATCTAGTGTTTCCAATTTTTTTGTTCGCTTTCCACAGTGTTAGTGTACAGTACAGGGAGTCTCCAGCTTCGGATTCCGAAAAAACAGTTCCGAATACTCAGGGCATCCGAGGCACACAGGGCACATCTTTCGTTTGAGATTTTAGTCGAGTCCGTACGACCCCTCCCTTTTTTGGGGTTGGTACGAACCCCCCCCCTCCGGCCCTCTGTCCCTCCTCATCGAATCGAGCCGTCGAGCGGGAGGGGGGGGTAAATAGCACATGTGAAACAGGAAAAGCCGCGAGACAATACGACCCCCCCTTTTACCAATTCTCAGATTTTCCCCAACTTCCTGCCACGTTTTCCAAAATTCCCGATCCCTATTTTGTGGGTGCTGTGGGGTTAATTTAACCCTTTTACGCCGAACACTCGGTGGTTCAGTGGAATAATATAAGCGAGAGCGAGAGATAGCGCAAGACTCCGATGAATGCAGAAGGACCAGAGCCAGCTGACTATATGAATATGCCTTACTACAACTCTGTGCCCCGCCCCCACAGCTGGGGTCGAACGGAACATCATCGGAGACGATGTTACCCTACTTCTTCCCAAAAAGTTTGCTGTCGAGCGGGGGGGGGGGAGGTGTTTACTACGCAAGTTGATCTTTTCCAGAATCAATTCCGCTGAGGAGAATCACGAAAAGTCAACCACCACTCTTAGAAGGCCAAAAAGTAAATACGACCCCCCTCCCAACAATGAGCAAGTACGACCCCCCCTTACAACGTCCGTGAAGCGAGAAAAATCAACTATCAAAATAAATTTTTCTCAGCCCAAATACGACCCCCTCTCCTGGCGGCCAAATACGACCCCCCCTGTTGGGGATTCCCCAACAACGATGTGCCCTGGAGGTACAGCATTAAGGCAGCAAAAGAGGCATTGCCAACGGGTGACGGCGGCATTCGCGCCAGGACTTGGTTTGGTAGCGCCTGTTCCAGTATGTCGAACCAACTAGCTAGGGAATCAAAGGCTGGAAATCAAATCTGGGGTGTGATGAGCTTTTACAGATGGCGCACGATGGGAAGCATCGGCAGCAGAGTTAAGGTGGCGCGCTCAGGCACTTACGTATTTGGGGTGAGGGACCACTCGGGCGGATAGTCTAGCACAGTGGACATAGTCCATAAGTCTGAACCTTGTTCTAGGAATGGGCACTGATACGCTGCCGTTGGTCTTCCTTCCCAGAACTACGTTAGCGCCCACTCCTATCTTTTTCCCTGCTCGACCACGCACTTTCCATGCATGAGATGGTGCTTACTGAGTTTGACTGATACGAATGAGGACGAACATCAGCTGAAAATAGTGACCTTGTCTCGTCTACTGAAGTCATTGGTCAAGTTCTGGGGCGATTTGTGCTTTTTTATTTATTTGTACAGCGTGGTTTCAATGATTCATGGGTCGCAATTCTTTTTCATGAGCAGGCGGTCGAGACTTCATTTTATAAGGAAAGAAGTAGTCAGTAGGAGTTGCTAGACTTCTTGCCAAATTTGATCTTTTCCAAATCAATTCCGCTGCGGTTTTTGGCGCGAAGCAGGGCGCGAAAGGGTCAGACGTGTGAGCAGGTCCCATTCATTGTTTTATTGGCTGGTGCGTGAAGGGTGCCCTCTTGCTAATGATGTTTTCTTTCTTCATTGTCGGCCTTGCGCATGAGTTCGGACCTGAATCACTCATTCTCCTACCTGGATTATCTTTAGTGTTTATCTTATATGTTCAGAATGTCTGACCGTCTTCCTGACATCCATACCAAGTTGGAGCAAAATGACGACGTCGATAAGACCGGAGCATCACTTATACGGACAAATTTTGATGATTATTCAATGTATGAAGTGGACGAGAAGCAGCATAACACAACATGTCCACCGGATCTGCTCGGCTTTGATGTGGTAAACGATAGATTTTAGTCCTTTTGGTTTGGTCGAGTTCCGCGTCCAAGTTTTGCTTCCAGTGGTGTCTCAGTAGTGCTGGCCATAGTTTTCTGGCTATTCACTAAAAGGTGACCACCTACTTCCTGAGATAAATGCATGTTCTGATTCTGGCGTCATGCCTCAGGGGCCGATCTGCAATATTACGTCAGTTCTATGGAACCCTGCAATTGGGGCTAAGTTTGGACTCCAGAAATTCCGGCACCGAGCCCATTTTTAAATTGCCTAAATCACCAAATCCGCTAAAAACTTGTACATAGGGACATCCTGATTACGAATATGACATTCACTCTTGTCGCTGGCGCCAAGAGAGGACACTACGATTACCTCCTGGGCTCAGCCTTAGCAGAGCGCAGATAATCGTAGTGTCATCCATTAGCGCCAGCGACAAGAGTGAATGTCATATTCGTAATCAGGATGTTAAACTACCCCTATATACAAGTTTTTAGCGGATTTGGTGACTTAGGCAATTTAAAAATGAGCTCGGTGCCGAAATTCTGGATTCCAAACGGCATTAGCCCCTGCAATTTGGGCAATTTTCGAAAGTGAGTGGTCTGGTGTGAAAAACCTACCGAGCAGCCATCGTTGTTCTTAACGCAATGCGGGTTGAATTTCGTCGACAAGGAGGGGCGTGTTTGATACCGTGAGGGGTTTTTCTGTGGTGTTTTTTCTTGTTTTATTTTTTCTGTTTTCTAGTCCTTTTCCGGCCTAACACCTATACCACCCGTTTGACGGGAGAATTGTTGGAAATTTTGGAAAGATGGTTGTAGGTTGCGAGGGGGGTCATGCTGGAGGTGTGACATTTGGGGAGAGTGGATATGTTTCTGACCATAGTTTTTCACCCATCCAAATACTGTGTCCTGCTCCTGAGTCGCACAAAGCCCTGACGCCAAAGTTAGTATTAATAGTCAGGAAATCATGGAGCCTCCACCTCCAGTCCCTGTGGGACGTGTATTGCAGGCTGGAGTATGCCGTAGTGAAGTTGTCGGAGTTGCTTTGACTGATAACTCGCTGGCTAATGCCGTCTGTACGCTCACTTTTGGCTGCGAGCTCGCTTATGAAGAGCTCAGACCACCAAATCCGCTGAAAACTCTTATACGTGGGTAACTCAACGATCTGCTTTCGAATATGACACTCATTCTTGGCGCTGGCGGTAATGGAGGACACTACGATTATCTTCTGGATTCTGCCTCAGCAATTCGCAGAACAGCAGTGTACTTCATTAGCGCCAACGCCGAGAATGAGTGTCATATTCGTAAACGGGATGTTAAATTACCCATAAGGCATGTCAGGAGTCTATCGCGAAAGCAAGTGCTCAGAAAAAAAGCCCAGTCTAGAAGGTTCGATCAAGAGCAGTCCCAGGCGACGCCGGCCGTGAATGTTTTGCTTCAGCACCAGGCGTAACTGGCGTCTGGGGAGAAAGTGTGATGAAAATTAGTGCCAAGTCCAACACACATTAGCAGCTCATCCTATCCCTTCTTTTACCCCATGTGCAGGATACTAATTGTGAGTGCAAGACTAGGTCCAGAAAATATGACCTGGTCCTCATCTTTCTGTTTCTTACTTGTTAGCTGAGTATTGCATTGCTGACTCAGTTGTTTATTTTCAGAACCTTCTTCGAAACTTATCAGCGCAAGATGCGTACTTGCGGGAGCAATTGAACAGCTGCGTCAAATCCGCCTTGGCCTCACAAGATCCCTGCACATTGGCTGACGACGAGCGTGAGGAGTTACTCCGGCAAAAGCGAAAGGTGCCGTGCTGTGCTTGTTGCTTTAATGATTCATTTCCTCATTCGAATCCGAAACCTTTTTATTGCTTGTGTTAGGTAGAGGAGCACGCTTTGTAGCTCTTTGTTGGATGCTCTGATATACCGTGTGCTGATCGATATCTATGCAGGGATAAAAATAGTTTGGAGGGGGAGGGTTAACTTCGCTCGCCCGCATTTCAAATTGAGGCCTGTGGGCTGGAGGCGAATAGGATCGGTATCCTACAAAATCCCATTGTTCAAAATGTATTGCTATACCGTAGCGAGTCGACGGAAGGCCGCGTTCATAGCTTGCGTTCGTGAAGAAATGCGGAAAATGCAGAAGTGTGGAAAGTGCAGAAGTGCGGAAGCTGCAGAAAAGCAATAGATACTTTCTGCAGATTCCGCACTTCTGCATTTTCCGCATTTCTGCATATCTTCACAAACGCAAGCTATGAACGCGGCCGAAGACGCATCGAAAAGGCTTTGATGAGTGTCGATAGCAAAAGTCGGCGAACCAAGATGCCAAATTCGGCGCAATCGCATAAAACGGTTGGGTGGATATCGACTGATAGAATCGGCAATCGTCTACGCACTTTATTGGTGCCCTGCTTCGTCCCATTTTATACATATCTATTTCTTTTCGCTCCTGCTCGGATTCGTCCACGCGCTTCGCCGTTTCCCCCTTCCAAAATGTATCCAACAGTTTTGGCCGATGAGCTGATTTCGCCAAGGTCATCAGGTCACTGTGAACAATGCCAGGCCGTGTCAGCGCGGCTGTATGCTTTGCGTGACTAGGCTGCCGCGACTGTGTCATCATGTGTGCTCTGCTAACCCTGCCACTTGGCTAGGTTGACCCTTTGGAGTTATTCGAGACTTGGCAAATAAGTTTTTGAAAGTGCGTGCCAATGAACGCTTCGGGATATTTTATTAGTATTGGATAAATCGTTTTTTCCGGACGAGATAAGGGGTGAAGCAAAATGTCTTTCATCTCAGGAAGATGCGTACAAGACAGCGCTGTGTGAGTCGCACAGTCGTACCCAGACATGCAGCTACGGTAAAGATTGTCGTTTCGCTCATGGTGTCGATGAGCTTCGTCTTCCTGCTCAGGTAATGATTTCTGCAATTATGATCAAGGACAGGATTATACTTGTTTTAGCCTCGCGGTCGTAGTCATTCCATACAAATCATTACTTTGTGACAAATTTTCGAATACTGGATACTGTAAATATGGAGCTAGGTTTGTTGTTTCCGCGACTCAAGGCTCGTTTATCTTCGAGGTTAATGGCTCTGTTAGTGTGCGTACTCTGCAGTGGTATCGTTCTTATCAGAATAGTTAAGGTGTCAATTTATCCACAAAATTACTAATCCTGCTATCCTCGCGCAGCAAATGCTAGCACGTGAAAACGCTCTGAGGGTAGGCTCTCTCTTTCTGGCCTCTTGGTTGATCTGAAGAAGTTAGGGTTTCCACAGGCGCAGGCAGTTTTTAATCCTCAACACACACTGGATTCCTCTTGCTATCCTCAAGGCAGACGTTTGGTTGATATGAATGTCAGGTAAGTAAGTTCTTCTCATTTCCACCCAGGTCGTTTGATGGATTTAATCATATTCAAGCATGCCGATCGATATGATCAATCATCGCAGCGATGTGGATCGTGCTTTTGCTCGTACAGCAGGCAGCCAAAACGTAGCAAGTATAGCAAGAACTATTGAAAATCGTCACGCCTACCTCTCAGTAGCATGCAGTGGTTCAACAATAGCGTTCGTCGTCTTTGAGGTATGTTTGAGAAGCGACACGCTGCTATGTTCCTCGCAGGGGGAGGGGGGATCTGTGATTTTTTTTCCTTATGCTCCAGTTTTCGAAGATAGATTGGGTGATCCACTTCATCACTGCGAACTCGGAATCGTAGCGTAGATTGTAGTACAGCGTCACCCACCCTCAAAATTCGCTGTTACCGTGACCTCACGTTGCAGCCAGGCCCTACCAATTCTGGAACATTGCCTCAGAAAAACTCATTGATTTGCACTAATTTGTTTAGAATCTAAATTATTATGATTTGCTTTCAGTTCCTATGACTATTCAGTAGAAAGAACAAGTAATGTAGTGCTTCGTTGAAATTTTTGAGGATAAGAGGTTTTAATAGATAATTAGGGTTTCCCACTGAAACGGAATTGAACTGGGTAGTGTGCTCGAAAAGAAAGGAAGGAACGAATCTCATAGCGACAATTCCTGTACTGAATTTGTCGGTTCAATTTATTCTCAAGTTTATCTAGGTTAGGATTGTTTCGCCCCAGATGCGCCGTAATGCGTCAGAAATATGGCTGTGCTCCTTGATTCTCCCAATCATGCGCTTTTATGTTTTCATGTACTTATTGCAGCTACACTTCACTACTGGTGAAATAAGTCTTTTTGAGAAATAAAGGGAATTAGTGAAGCCAGACAGAAGTACCAGTGCTCCATTTGGTTCTGTGCCATTGTTTAGGAAATTAAGTCTCGGAAATCTCTCTTTACATGATATAGTCAACTTTTCCAGACAATGTCATATTCAATGTTGCCCGAAACATATAGGCTTGAACTAGTTTCGCAACTACTGCATAACGGGCGGAGTGACAGAGGCCGCTGTCGGTCCAGTCGTTGTGAGGCTACTGCTGTTGCCATCGCAGAGGGGAAAGGCCAGTCGTTAAAAAATACGTAGAAGGTTCGAATGGCTCCACAGAAAAGCTGCCACTGGACGGCTTTAGTGAAAGGTCAACCATAATCACTTATCGTATCTGTTAGGCCACTCAAAGTCACGTTGAACCATTTAATATTATTGGCTACATTTAAGCATTTTTTAGTTCTGGTTTACCATGATTATTTCACCTCTTTCCCTCATTCAGAACGACAATTTCACCACAACAGCATCACTTCCACATCTGAGGGGCACTGCTTTTTGGCTTCAACTTTTCACGTTCATTGCGACTTCAACAGGATCGAGGGAGAAGTGTATTTGGGAAACGGCGTATTCTGCTCTCATACGCCGATTGAAGACAAGTCCTTACTGGGTTCAGCGTTATTCGCAGCAGGTGTTCTACGAGTAAGATTTGTGGGTATAAATCACTGCATAAGCAAAAACCTCGTTCAATCATTCATTCATTATGTCTAGGCGGTCAGCCATACTCTGAAGTTTAAATTTCAATGCTAAAGTCATATTCTACTCTGTAAATATTTATTACACAAAAGGTGTGACAATACATTTCGCAATTTCTACATATTGTGACCGTGATGTAGCACGTGTCGCTGTTCAAATTGCTCTTAGTTGTTTTCTTTTTTTCAAACAGTTTGCTGTAGTTTACACTTTATTCCTGGTGAATACGTGCCTGCTTATGTTGACGCTTGTAAATCTAGCTAGCTAGTTTTACTAGAGTATGACTCTGTGTATATGATTAAATGGTCCATATTGTACACTATTGCTTGCTAAGTTGATTTATAAAACATTTCATATTACACGGTTGTTGGTTAGGATATTCTTTTGAAGCATCAGCCATCTTTTCGTTTTCTTGTCACAAATACAAGCTGTACTTCTCATGCAGTGAACGGAAAGCTTGAGCTTCTCAGCAATATTTCATGTTGAGCGACATAATCCTGAAATTTGGCTGTACTCAGAAGTTAGTCATGATTTTTGTTATTTGATGTTCCGTTCATACTTCGTGACTGGAACGGTTCAGTCGCCCGATTTTAGAATTGAGCAACTGCAACTAGCCGTGCTTCACCGCAACCACACCATATCGCTCTATCTCTTATGTGTTTGACGTGACGGTGTCCCACCGTGCGGATTAAGAATCGTTCAGATCGCGGCATATGAACAACTGTTCCCGTACCTTGTCCTGATGTACCAAGTATATTTGTATTAGTATGTTTGCGACCCATATGTGAATCGAAAAGCACGCTCTCAGGAATCCAGAATGCTCCAGCGACCCACAGAGGGCGGAGTAAATTCGATCGGTGGGGCTTTGATCTAGCGCAGTTGTGCACGATCACGCAGGGTAGCGGACAAGTCGTCGCGCGCAACTTGCTTCTCTTTTTTTCTGTGCACTGTTTCGTCTGCGTGACATTCTGACTAATGTTTCTCATTCCAACTTTTCAGACAGCCCTGAAAAAGGCCTTCCGCTGGTTTGCCACAGATCTTTCGCACCTCTCGTGCTTTGGGGTCCAATATCTCTGCGCAGCCTCTGTTCGACTCTGGTCTTCTGCGCTTTAAGCCTTACCCTTGATTTGGGAAAAGGGTCCACAGATGCTGCAGCATGCCACTGCTAAACAACGCTAGCATCGGTGTCACTGTGAGAGTTCTCCCAGTCTTACAATCGAGATGTATCTACTCTTCAGAATGAGTTGGCGGCTGGGCGGGGGTGTACAATTGAGGTCATTCAAGTCATCGCGCGCTTTTCAGAAATGGTTTGTTGCATGTTGTAGGGGTCCATATAAGATCATAAAAATCGGTTTAATTTTTGCTACGCATTCCTGGGAATGCCAAAAAATGAGTTGAAAGTTTGCTGAAGAGAATCATTTCGAGCCGCTCTGCTGAGCTCTTTTCTATTAGGTTGTCCGGAAAGTTCTCAGCGTTTTGTACTATTTTTTGTACATTCATTGCTGATTAAAAACTCATTCTCCCTTGCGTCTCAGTAGTACATCCTGAAGAGAATTTTTGCGCTATCTGATGGTATAATTGCCGTTTCACCATTGCTTGATAAACCCCCTTTTCCCAAGACTTTGAAGCATGTCAAAAGAGCAACTTCGGACGATATTTTTCTTCAACTACAAATTGGGTCAATCCGCAGTCGAGACAGCTCGACAAATTAACCAGGTGTGGGGGCCCAATAGTGCTAGAGAAAGCACCGTGCGACAATGGTTCGACAAATTTCGTTCTGGAGATTTCAGCCTTGAAGCTCGTAGCGGTCGACCTAAAGCAATACCTGAGGATTTGAAGGCGTTTGTGGAGGCTGACCCATCCCAGTTCGAGAGATTGCAGAAAAGCTAGGCGTTGGCAAATCCACTGTTGCGGATGGTCTGAAACGCATTGGGAAGGTGAAAAAACTCGACAAGTGGGTGCCCCACAATTTGAGTGACCGGCAGAAATTGGCACGTCTCGAGGTTTCTTCTTCACTGCTTTTGCGCAACAGAAACGACCCGTTTTTGGACCGAATTGTCACCTGTGATGAAAAGTGGATCATGTATGATAACAGGAGACGTTCCGGACAGTGGTTGGATGCCGACGAACCACCGAGGCAATTTCCAAAGCCGAATCCTCACGAAAAAAGATTATGGTCACAGTGTGGTGGTCATCGGCTGGTGTGATCCACTATAACTTTTTGTCACCAGGCCAAACCATCACAGCAGAGTCCTACTGTGAAGAAATCGACGAAATGTACCGAAAATTGCGTCAGCTGCAGCCAGCACTTGTCAACAGAAAGGGTCCGATTCTTTTGCATGACAACGCCCGCCCACACGTTTCACAAATCACTATCCATAAATTGAACGAATTGGGGGTTGAAGTTCTACCTCACCCGCCATATTCTCCAGACCTTCCCGACTACCACCTTTTCAAACATTTTCAGAACTTCCTTGCTGGAAATTTCTTCTTCTTCTTCTTCTTCTCCCTAGCGTTAGTCCCGCGCCGTCGCAGGGTCCGCTGTTCTTGTTAGACGTCGCCACTTGTTCCGATCCACTGCATCTTCTGCTGTGGCTTTCACTTCAGTGAGGTCCCTCTTGATGACGTCCCTCCATCTTTTCTTTGGGGCTCCTCGTGGTCGCTTGCCCTCTACCTCGAGTTCCAATGCCTTCCTTATTGGGTGGTCTCCTCAGTACATGCCCATACCATCGCAGTCGCTGCTCTCGTGCCTTCAGCTGGATAGGAGCCGTCTGTGTGACCGCTCTGACGTCCTCGTTTCTGACTCTGTCGAGTCGTGTCCAGCCGCAGGCCCATCTCAGCATCCTCATTTCAGCTGAGTGGAGCTGCCTTTCATGGTTCTTGCAGATGGGCCAGCACTCACTGCCGTAGAGCATTGTAGGCCTTACCACCGCCCGGTACACCTTGCCCTTGAGCGTTCTCGAGCACCGCCGGTCGCACAGGATGCCAGTGGACTCCCTCCATTTCATCCAGGCTGCGTTGATTCGGGCCGTCACCGCCTGGTCCACGCTGCCATCAGCTGCTAGGTTGCTCCCCAGGTACTGGAAATCCTCGACCCTTTCGATGCTCTCGCCATGGCGGTCTACGATGAGTTCGGTGCACTCTTCGGAACTTAGAAATTTGGTCTTCTCTAAGT